ATCAGATCAGACCAGATTCAATTAAATTAGAACAGATCAAGTCTAATAATATCAAATCAAAAAATATAAAAAATAGTATTAATAATTTTCTAGAATTAAATAGTAATTACTATTTGATTAATACTTTATTTAAAGCTACATTCACCTAAATCTTTTCTAGTGTTATAATTTTAAATATTATTATTATTGTTATATTATTATGAATAGGTGTCTAGGTCATCGACCGACTACAGCCAACGAGAGATGCTGACACGTGTAGGGCATAATGATGAAGGCAGACATGGCAGGCAGGGGGACGGTGAGGTGTTGTTTGGACCGTTCCAGGTATCAGGTTTTGGAGGGAACGAATTTCGAATTGTGAAAGGCAAATCGGTGCCACCTTGTTATGACTTTGGGTATGGCCCGGGAAGAAGTGATAGGTTTACTTCCCGTTGTTGATGATTCTCACAATGCCGATAAGTGGAGGACTTATTGATGTGTATAATCACTACCCGGCCCGGCCAGGTGACAGGTCAAATGTGACCAGACAACAAATTAAGTGGCGTTCCAGTGGGCGTAAAACATTTTGGAAATGACTAGTCACCTCTTTCTAGAAAAGTGATCGGTCATGTTTTCGGCAAGGTCATTTTCTTACAGGGCCATTACTGGAGTCGGGTCGAGGGATTAGCTCATCAGATTGGCATGTAGAGATTGGGAAAGCTTATTGGGGGTATGCAATTTTTTTGGTAGGGCATTTGTAAGTTCGTGGGGGCGCAGCGGAAATCACCAATTAAGAGCTATGCAAACAAATCAATCAACTATGCTGCAGAGAAGACGCTGCATCACTGTCACAGTAACAGATGACGGACAGTGTGCTATAACACTTCTCTGTCACAAGCACACACAGAAGCAGATGATGCAGAGAGCGTTACAACGTCTACCGGGTAGAATGCTGTAACTATAAAATGCGTAAAAAAAAGACACTAGATATGTTTACGCAGTTCGGAGAAACTCTCCTAATCTGCGGGGCCCACGTCCGTGTAATAGCCCTCCACTAAATCACTAGATGCAAGTTACACCGGTACATAACAACATAGACACACTTCTCCGAATTGCTATGACAAAACTTCTAATCTAGGATTTCTAACCCGAACACTGTTCAGATTCGCTTCGGCTATCACATCTCCACCGAGATCACGAGGACAAAGGTGTTGGCAGCCCTCTCCTTAAGCTCTGGTTCATCTTCTGGTTGTCACGATCTATTTTTCACTCTAGGACCCCTTCTTCATGTAGATCGTAACTTTCTTCATGCATGGGAAGCTCCGGGACGTGACGGGAATGCTCTACATCAGCATATTTTTTGTTTTTCCTCTCGATCGCTCCAAGTAATTCCCAGGGACCTGCTGCGTTTTTATAGGCTCCTCTTAACACAATCCTAGTAGGAATAAGATAGTAGAAGTTAGCTTGAACTCTACTTTCTTAATCTTGATCCACAAGTAGCCTAAAGAGTTGGGATTCCTTAGCATGAACAGCTGGAGTTATTATCATGTAATCACAATCCCAATAGGTCTCTAATTCAGATTGCAGCTTAAAATCCCGTGCTCAGACCTCTGATCCCAAACAGTGTGTTGCAGCATCGTGCTGTAGCATTTTCTGTGTTAACCTCGAAAACTGCAGCAACTCTAGAAGTCTAAATAAAATAAACCTCTCCTAACAAATAGAGGTTTCTACCTAGTAAAACACCTAACAAATATGGGATTTTATTTTGTCAAAAGATTAGCCAACACCATGGAACTAATAGCATTAGTATGTTTTTAGAATTAGAGTAGTAAAACAATATTCCTTAAAAAAAATAGTAAAACAATGATTAATTTTACTAATAATAATTATAACAATAACAGGGGGGTTTTCTCAAAAAAATAGTAAATTCCATAACTGGTCCTTTATAACAGGAGGGTTTCTCTATTTAGTCCTCTATTATCAAATATTACCCCAGTGGTCCTTCTTTTATGGATATCTTTCCACAAATAGTCCTTTTTTGATCTTCTATCATGTTGGAGTTAATTTGAGGGCTAAAAGTGTAATTTCACAATGATAATATATCTTTTTTGTCATACACAATTCCAAAGGTTGTTCCGTTTGCATCGTTTGTGAATTACATTTGCTTTTTACTACAACCATAGTCTACAAATGTGGTCTTCCGTCGGAATCCTAGCCCATAATCATAGTCATTATTTTTCTGTTATCCGCTTAACCAATATCAGAACACGTCACTAGACATAATGTTGATGTCAAATTATACTTTTAGCATTTAAATTAAAACCCACATGGCGGAAGATAAAAAAAAGACCATTTTGTGGAAAGGCACCCTTAAAAAAGGACTACAAGGATAATATTTCATAATAGAAGACTAAATATGGAAACCCCCCTGTTATAAAGAACCAATTATGGAATTTACTCTAATAATAATAAAACAAGAAAAAAGGGGATGGGTGGGGGTCTGGATCGGAAAAAGGAAAATAAAATGATGATGATGACGACGAATATGTGATGATGAAGTAAAAATTAACGGAGCAATTGACGGATGGCTCCTATTGGTACATTTTTGAATAATTTGAGGTACTTGGCAATATATTTTTAAAACTGGGGTACCCGATAGTTCTTATCATAAAACTAGGGGTACCTAGTAACAATTTTTTGAAACTTTATTTACTTTCCTTCTCTAATTTCGTTAATTATTTGATAAAATAATATAATCATGTCACTACTAGTTTTGTAGATCTTTTGATCTAGTTTTTACTAATGTAATTTTTATTTTTTAATTCTACACTATTTTTCATATAAAATTATTTAAAAATAATTCTAGTCAAACATCGTAAATTGAGACAGATAATATAAATTGGGACAGAGGAAGTATGATCTTAAACAATGCCTGAGCGAGACTAAACTATTAAAGAATTGAAAATTTTCAATAACTCACCATTAGTCAACATTGATAAGGGATTGACATGTTTTATGGGTGGGGGGAGGGAGAAAAAGTTTTCATTTATGAGTAAAAACTATATTTACTTTGTCCAACAATAAACTTCTTAGTTAAGGTCCCCAATAATTTAAACTCTGTATTTGTTTGTAAAATTTAATCAATCATTTGATAAAAATAAGATATTTTTACCATATCTTATTCTGTAGAAGTTTTGATGTAATTTTAAACAATAAAATTTATATCCTTTTTTATTATATACCAATATGTAAATAAAATAATTTAAATAAATAAATTTAGTTCACTAGGAGATCAAAAGAACAACTCTCCAGTCCCTTTTTTCCCATAGACTATAGGTCCATTTTGTTCAATTTTTGTTTTCAACTAATTACTTATTCTTATTAGAATCAAATCAGATCCAATTAATTCAAATTGGATGAGATCAGACCAGATCAGATCTAATGATGTTAGAATTCAGAACCAATCAGATAAGATCTTTTTAGATTAAATAAGATAATGATGCTTACATAGTCTCAAAGTCTACATTTAAAATGTAAACTTCTCACACTTAAAATATAAACTAAGAATTCATTTTTTTAACGTTACAAATGCATTAAGACCCATAAAATGAGTATAAACCTTATGTCCAACGAAGAATAACCTAAATTAGAAGAATCTAGAAAATATTGAAAAATATTGCTAAATGTATCTAAAAATAACTATATTCACATCTTTTTCTATATTTGCTAAATCAAACCTATAAAATAACTTTAATATTGGTGTATGTTTAGCTAATTTAAGTGAAAGAGTTGGATAAAACTATTTTTAAGGTTGATTTAGCAAAACCCTATATACTATTATACGACTAATTTATGTTACATTATTTAATGTTGCATATAATTTACTAATAATGATTATTATAATGTTATATATTACTCCGTACTAAATAATAATAATAGTAGTAGTAGTAATAATCATAGTTTTCAGAACCGGACCGGTGACCGAACCGGTCAAGGTACTGGTTTACTCGTCGAACCGGTGGTTTAAACATATTTAAAAATTATATAAATATAAATAAATAAATATATATATGTGTGTGTGTATGTATATGTATATATATTTACACACACACGCATACATACATATAGACACACACATATTCTCATTTATAAATATCTAAAGAAAGTAATTTATAACATTTAAGTAATATTATATTAATATACTTGAGTTATTTTTTAAAATTAAAAAATAAAATTTACATATTAAAAAAATATAAAAGAATTTTAAATGAAGAGTTGATTTTATTTTTTTCAAATAAGTTGTTTAATACGGAGTAAAAAAAAAACGAAATCTTTGCATGATTTGCATTTTGTAATAGTATCAATAATATCAATGATTTTGTGTTTGACTCATAGCTATATAATATTATATTTATAAAATTGAAAAGAAATTTATATACAATCTTTTTTGTAATTATAAAATATTATAAAAGATTATGTAAACTTGTAACAAAAAGCACCATTGCTTGGATGGTTAGAAGCTCAACCAAATATCTCAGAGGTGTCGGGTTCAAACCCCCATGGAGGCATGTTTTGGAAAAAATCAGCAAAAAAAAAGAAAACAAAACTGGGCGGACCAGTCCGACCGGCCGGTTCTTACCGGTTCAAACCGGTTTGGGCCGGTTCGAAGCAGGTTACGGTCCAGTGGGCCGGACCGGACTGGTTGGACCACCGGTTCACGGTCCGAACCGGCCGGCCCGGTCTGGTTTTTAAAACTATGGTAATAATAATAATAATAATGTTTTGTGTGTGTATTAGAGCGCATTTTGGGGTCCAATTCTAGAATTGATTGTTCATACCCCATAACTAGTAGCTATGCTTCTTATCTGGCGTTAGAGATGACAACGAGTCGGGTTTGGATTGAATTGTCATCCCTACTTGACGTGAGACTTCAACAAAAGAAACTGAAACAAAAAGTTCTATGAGAAGTGGAATGGTATAGCAATGTGGAACATGACATCTAACATTTTCTTGGAGACTTCAACAAAAGTGTTCATTCATTTTCATGGGTAAATCTGTATTGTGTTGCATCTTAAGAAGTACTCCATACAAAGCTACAAATAAAATGCCAAACACAGCTCAGAAGATGGGGCAGTTAAGTTAACCAAACAAAGCTGAAATTTCACAATGTGATAAATGTACAAAATGACATTTTTTCCCTCATCAAATACAGTATCAATTATACAAAAGCAATACATACCCTTTTTTTCTGGGCCAATGCCTTCAACACTATGGGCTTCCCTCTTCCTCCAGCTTCTTTACATGGGCCTGCAACACCATTACCAAGTTCCTAGCGGGGGCCTGCAGCGTCCCGACAACAGCAGAGGCTGGGCCTTTTAGAGAGCCCAGAAGCGTGGCGTAAACCTCGGCCCGCGAAGGCAACGTCTCCAGGGCCTTGAACTCATCAGGCCCATAGAACTTCCCCTCGAAAACCGCGCCCGTGAAGTCGTTCCCGTCCAGCTTCTGCTCCTTCTGGAAAGTCCGGTAGGGTTTCAGCGCCGCCGGGATCTCCTCGCCGTGAACGAAGAACCAGGCATTCATCCCAGTCATACACGGCTTCAAGGCCTCCCATTGAGTCCCTTCGATGGCCTTGAGCACCAGAGTGTTCTTCGCCACGATCACCTTGGTGGTCTCCGGGATCTGCGCCCGGAGCTGTTGAAATTGCCTCACCGTGAACCCTTTGTAACTGATTCCGGCGAGAAGGCGGCAATCCTGGAGCTCCTGCTTCACCGTCTCCACCGTCTCTTCTTTCTTCGTTCTGCTGATCGCTGAACGGACGGTCAAAGCCCGTCTCCGGGGAGTGGGTTTGAGAGTGCTGCAGAAATGTGATTTGTTTGAGATAGGAAGAGAAGGATAGAATGTGGAGAGGATCGAAGCCTCCATGGATAAAGAAGAAGATTTGGGGATTTCTTCTCTCCGCTTATCTTTCCCCTTATCCTTTGCAAATTTTCGGGCGTTTTGGGTCGGGCCGTGGCTCCAACACGATGGCATGGAGCACCAAACTGTTTTTTTTCCTTCAAGATTTAAAATAAAAAATAAGTTAATGAAAAAATTGAAATCTTGTGTGTGTGTGTGTTCTAGTGGTTCTACTATGTTTTTTACCTAGTATTTATTGATTTATTACTAATAGTGTTTGACCTAGTATTCCACTTTAATTTTTATAAGATCAATTTTTTTAAGTTTAATTACAAATTATGAAAAAATATTGAATTGTAATATAAATTTAGTATCAATAATTTTTTTCAAAAAATATTCTGAAATATTACATTTTTAAAATATATATCTATTTATAAATAAAGATATTGATGATCATAATGTCGCATTGATAACCGTGAGAAGTCAATTAGGAAGATTCAAAAGAGATGGGAGGAGTAACGCATAAAATTAAAGAATTTAGAACACCTCCTTCTCTTTAGCCATGGTAGGGAGAGGTCGATCGAAGAAGAAATTGCAATCGCAACAACAATCTGATACACCACATTCATCAGATCCGGTCAAATCGATGAAAGATATGACAAAACCCAATACTCAAACAAAACCCTAACCCCATTTCCAAAAGTTAAAGAGTACAATAAAGAATACTAGAGAAGTGTATAAGTATTTATTTTTCTTAGAGATTAACAATAAACGCACGTGGAGACAACACACACAATCACAAATCAACTATAAAAAATAAACGATACAAGATTTAACGTAGTTCGGTTGCCAACTACAACCTACTCAATTCGGGCAACTAGGAGAATTTTATTTCTTTGTTGTTGCACACCAAGATTACAAGCACAATGATCTCTTAAATAGAGATGATTTAGGAGAAAATGATTAAGCTAAAGCACAAAGTAGCTTCCAGGTGGTTTTCTGCCAATTTCTATTAGCTTCACACTCAACAATCTCTCACTTGAAATCACAGAATAATGTTCACCTATGCTTCAATTGTGCACATGCAATGTACTTTTGTAATCTATCAACGGAACTCGATGTTCCACCACCTCTAGTTGCCACCATCCTTCTTGATCATCTAGAAGACTTCGTTGAAACTCCACCGAGTTCCAACATGTTCGTCATGGCTACTGAAACTGCCACTGGCTCGTTCTCTATTCCTAGTGGCTCCCACTTACATGAACTCTCAGATCCTGGAATATCATTAGAGCTAACACTTTCCGAACAAAGCAGATAAATCTCTAGAGAGATTTTGATGGCTGGATTGCTGGTTCTCTTAACCCATTGTTGTTTCGTAACTCTTGATTGAAGCACAACTCGTGCTCCCACTACCACGCTCAACTTGAGTCTAAATTGTTGCCCTGGGTTTGTTATCTGCAAAACAAATTTTCTTCTGCCTACGAGACTCTCTGAACCGGATTTTGGTTTTCTTCTGATCTGGGATGGCCACTCGCTCAGACGGTAAACTGACCATATACAAAGAGCCTCTTTTTCTTCCACGAGCAATGAAAAGATTTCCCTTGGTGACTTTCCACTGCTTGCTCCTGAACTTCACGTCATGTCCATGTCCATCCAACTTCCTGTCAGATTTCCCTTAGGACCTCCATTTCTTTCTTGGCATTAATGTCTAGCGTACGTAGCAGGGGCTCTTCCTACATCAGACTCAGTTCATCCATGATAATCTTGAGCGGGCGGGTATGCTTACTTGCAAACCTATCTCTACACCCGTTGACCCCAAAGGGAAATTAGTTGCTACCTCAGGAACTCCAGAATCTGACCCTACACTTTATCGTTCCATTGTGGGTGCTCTTTCATATCTCACCTTGACCTGACCAGACATTACTTATGTTGTTCAGCAACTTTGTCTCCATCTTCATAATCATCGGATTAGGATTGTAAACGAACCGAATATTTTTTGTTCGATTCGTGATTCGTATTCGAGTAAAGTGATTCGTATTCGTTTTTTTCGAATCCGAATACGAATATGAATTTGAATAAATATTCGAACCCTTAACGAATACGAATTCAAATTTAAGTATATTCGATTCGTGAGACCTAAGTCACCTAACCGCTGCCTCACTTGTGTGCCGCTGAATCTTCCGATGATTTTCATCGATTGAAACATCGAACATCTCTCTATCAATTTCCGTCTCCCTCTCAAAGTAGTCACCACTCACCACGCCTCTTGCACAATTTGCAAGTCGCAACTCTCCAACCACTCACCACCCCGGCACTTCGACAATTTAGGCAATTACAAGTTACAAGGTATGTAATTTTATTTTGCTTTTCTTGTGTTGGTGAAATTTCTCTCCTTGTTTGCTTTTCGGCAATAAATTGTTTGCTTTTCTTGTGTTTTTGTGTAATTACATTGTGTTTGTGTAATTGCTTTTCAGCAATTTTTTTTTGTTTTTTTTTGTTTTTGAATGGTGAAATTTCTCTCCTTTTTTTGCTTTTCTTGTGTTTGTAGGATATAGAAGAAGGTGCACCATTCCTTGATTTCAGTTATGACGATGAGGTAAAAATTTAAAAAAATAAAAGATTTCTTTACATTACTTTTACCTATTTCATTTTAATTATCAAATCTCACAAAGTTTATTATGTGTGATAAAGTAATTTGCTTTAAAAATATATGATACTAAGGCTTCTACGGAATATTTATTTGTAATGGAATGTTTTGCCATGGAATTCATGATGAGAGGTAAATATACTACTTACTTAGCCACTCAAGCATGAAAAACTAAGGCTTCTACGGAATATTTATTTGTAAAATTTATGTTTCAAATTTAATTGGTGCAGGAAGCATGACATATTGACTTTATGTTGAAGACTTGAACTTTGAAGTTGGAAAGAATGTTGTTATTAAAATACATTGACTTTATGTTGGAGTCATGCTATTGAAATATTTAATATTTTGTTATTAGGACACAATGTATTGTTCTTTTGGTATCTAAAATTATGCATTGTGCTTGATACTAGGCAGTTGACATGTAAATTTGATGGTTGATATTTTTATCTTCAATAGATTAAATGTATCATCATAACTTTTTTTTCTATTGGCTAATGTGTAATTCTATTCATACAATGAGTTTGTGGGAAAAAATAGGTTAATATGAATATTATTTTTAATGAATAAATTAAATTTTTATAAAATATTTTAAAATTTAAAAAAAATCAATGTTTTAAAAAGAACCGAATTTATAAACGAATCGAATTTCTTAAACGAATCGAATGTATAAACGAATCAAATACCTAATGTTTGTTAAACGAATCGAATACGAATCATTAAAAATATTCGAAGCGAATTCGAATACGAATACGAATATCATCTTAAATTAGCGAATACAAATATTTTTCGTGGATATTCGATTCGGTTCGTTTACAACCCTACATCGGATGCCTCATTTCACTGCTATGAAACTTGTGCTACACTTTTTTGTAAGTTGTAATTATTTTTCTTAAGCAAAAGTTTGAATTGTTTTTTTTTAATATTGTATGATTATTTTTGTAAAAGCGGTACTACAAAACTTGTAAATATTTTTCAATAATTCTATATAAAGGTTTTTGGCAAAATAAGATTACAACAGTTGTGAAAATAACCCAATAATTTTTCTCAAAAACGGAACTTTTATTTTTATCTTACTACATTTTTTGTTGTATTACAATTTTTTCAGGAACAACACCACGAAATATTTATTGATAATGTTCTAATACCCGTATTATTTTTTTCCCCAAAATAATACGGAGTAATTCAAAAGTTGTGAAAATGGTACATTATTTTTTATCTCCAAAATTGCACCAATTAATTTTATCACTCATTACAATTTTTCTTATTGCAATTTCTTTATCAATCGCTCTTCTGAATTATTTTTCGATAATCTAATATTATATTTCTCCCAGAACATAAAATAAAATTAGTAAATCATTATATTGTTTAAAAAAATTGAGACATTTCTAAAGAGTGTACTGTTATATTTTTAAAAGTATAAATTTTAAAATTAAAAAATAAAAGAGTACATTTACTTAAAATAATCTCATCTTTCATTTATTTGCAAAAAACAGGCATTTTGTAAAAATTCTGTTAAGTGGTCGTTAGCTTTTTAACACTAACCCAAAACTCGCACAAATGCAGAAAGGTGAGATTGTTTCCAGTTACAGTGAAGAGTGGGATTATTTTTGAAAAACACAAATGGTGCGATTATTTAAGATAATTTTCATTTTTTCCTATTGCTTTTGATAGTGCTTCCTGCTTTTTTCTTGTAAATCCTTCAAAAATGATTTTAAAAATATCAATTAAATTTTAATTTTCTTAGTTGGATGTGATAGAATTAAGTTATTACTCCATATTTTCGGTTATATAAATAAAATGTACAATTTTTTTTCACAAAACTCACGCATAAATAGTAACGTATTTACTTTATATAAAATCCATTAAAGAATTAGTACTTTATGCTTATATCAATTGAATTTAAATGTTTCTTTTTAACCAGTTGTATTAGAATTAAATTATTTTTTCTTAAATGCATTTTGTATTTAACAAAATTCAATCATAAATAGAGAGCATTATATTTATTTTTTCTAAAATTTGTAAAATATAAATGAATGAAATTTAATTTAAGGACAAAGAAAATATAATACATAATCTCCATCTTATTGTATTCATATTCTTTGGGCTCTGATTATAAATTGAACATAAATTTTATTGTAGAATAATAAAAAATGATTATATTTAATACTCCCTCCGTTCCTTAAAACAATTCATCTTTCATTTTTTTTGTTTTCCCAAAAACACTTCCATTTTTGTAAAAAATGGCTAATATATCTAAATTACGTTTTTACAATATACTCCATTGAATTTGCATTGATATAATAAGTCATTTAAATGATTTGTCTCTTTTTGTCTTCGATAATAAGAGTATAATTAGAAGGTCAAACTATGAAATTAAATCTCTCTCAAGTCAAAATAGGAACTGTTTTAATGAACGGAGGGAGTATGTCTTACAAAAAAAACTTTCGGTAGCAATACAGGTGAATTATTAAAACATAATGACTTTCCCAATATAGGATCATATGTTTTTATTTCCCAATGTAGGACCTTTGGTCATTATAAAGTAGTCATTATTCAAGTAAATGTCCATCATTACTGAACATTATTCCTCCCACTAGGTCATTATTAAGTCCTATTTAGGGAATAAAAAAGTTTAAGTCCTACATTGGGAAAGTCATTATGTTTTAGTCATATTTAGTGCAAATTTCACTTATTTAAATAATAAATCTTTTGAACGATTGAATGTTAAATAATTGAATATTACTCCCTCCGTCCTTGAGAGTGTTTGTCCATTGTTGACTATTTCAGTTAAAATTTGTAAACTTTGATTTGAAATTAAACAAAAATGATATAAGATATTGATACAAAAATAGTTTTATTATATCAAATATCTTCAAAACCATTTTATCTAATTTATATACAATTTATTATTATTTAATTATTGGTCAAAAGTTGAAAACGATTGATCGAAAAAAGTCAAAACTGGACAAATACTCATGGACGGAGGTAGTACTTCTTATCTTAAAGGAATTGTAAGCGAGAGTTTTTGTGATTTTGAAATATCAATTAGAGAGAATAGTCCGAATGTGATACCGCAAAGCTAGGCCTGTCAATGGGTCGGGTTGGGCCGGTTCATAGTGTTCTATTCTCGTACCTATTTAAAAAAAATTGATCCTGACCCGTAGCCATTTACCCGACGGGTTGTGAAGTTTAATCCTATATTTGGATCCATTGGGTCTCGGTATTGGGTCGGGTTTACCCATGATAAAAGTTGACGTATTTTATTTTTTTATAATTGAAAAACAATTAGTGAAAATACTATGAATGAAAAATATTTTAATTAAATACAAATAAAAATAAGACCAATACATTAGTTTAACAAAAATCGGCCGTTTTCACCAAAAATCTACAAGAAAAATTTTAGATTCATAATCGATCTTCTTGTCACATTCAGCGAAGAAGATGAGTAATGAAGAAGAGAGGTAGAATTTTGTAATATTTAATATTATGTACGTAATATATATTTAACCGGTATGAGTTTTAAACGGGTCGGGACTACTCGTCCTATACCCAACCCTTTATTTTTTTTAAAATAACGGGTACGGGTTCCGGTAAGGGCAAACGGTATTTTTTATACTCCTAAACCCGCTAAAAAATTAAGGGTATTATACGGGTTCGGGTCAATACCCGACTCATTGACAGGCCTACGCGAAGCCAACCAATTCTCACGGCTACAAGTCTGGCCGAAGAATGAGCTGCTGGTCACGGCCAAGGGAAGAAACCCTAGGGTTTCGGTCAGGGAAAAGCAAGAGAGAAGGAGAAGGTAGAGAGAGTTTAGGAGAGGACTTCTTTATTGATGATTGTATGGAGGATGAACCCTCTTTTTATAGAAAACAATGAGTCCCAATCCTACTAGAACTACGTTATCTATCCTGTAAGTTCAAGAAAAGCGACGAGGTAAAGAACCGAAAAGAAACCCTAAAATTAAAGGAGCTTATAATTTCGCTCACCTAAGAAAATCTAAATACAATAATGGAAATTAACAACGGAAAATAATTAAACATAGTCTTGATACTTTCGTGGCTTCCGAACGTCCCTCTTTGGACGACCCGACGTGGTTGGCACGTGAGGGTCGCGGTCTTCGTGTACTTCCGGGCTAAGGTCCGTATCAGAATGTTCATTCAAATACTATTTTTTTTTTATTCAAGGCATGAACAATGAATATTGATAAATATATAATCGCAACTAAAGAGAGAGGATCCCATGACTCTCGATTGTTGGATCCGCCTCTGATTGCACAAATACAATTACTCCGTATGTAAGAACTAAGAAGAGATAAACAGAAAGAACATTGAAGATGTATCGATCGAAAACTAATTAACACGATAGATGAAACGGAAAAGAAATCACCAGCAGCGGGCGATAATCACAGTCCTAGCTGACATTTTTTTTTCCTGCAACGAAAACATTGGAGATGGAGAAGGAAAAAAAGGACAGCATTAAATTTCCTAATTAAATGATAATTTTTAAACTGATGCAGCATGTAACAACACAATGTTTATTTAATGAATGATTATAATTTGACTACCAAAAATCAAACAAAACAAAAAACACTAACACAGAAATATAGTACTTGTTTTTTTTATATCAATGCCCGGAGTATATATATATTATTAGGGGAGAATTGAAGTAGGATTAATTACGTGGTTAGTTAATTAAGTACTATTGGATTCTCCAGCAGCTTTAGCTTTAATAGACTTAACGAAATCCCAACGTTCCCTGAAGTGGTAAAGTAAGTAGGCCACAATAACAATAACAAGAGCAATCCCACCACCACTCAAGAGAAAAATATTGGTCCTTCCATAGCAGGGTGAAATGTGAAGGACTAAAAGAAATATTACTACTATATAGTAGTAGTAGTATTTGTTGTTTCCCATTTTCTCGTTAATTACTCAAAATTAATTACTTGCTGCTCTCCATCTATCTGCTAATTATATAGGATCGGAGTACTGTTTCTGCCTTTCGTATACTCCGTATATACATACATACATACCATTTTCCTGCCTGCCTAGTATAGCTAGGTTGCGTTATTATATAAATATTGTCCGTATGGAATACATGCGTATATATATATATATCCATTGATATGTGACCCATTTAACCCGAGTAACCCTTATCTCATCATAAATTCTAGAAATATTTGCACTAAATAGCACTAAAACTTAAGTCATTTCCCTAAATAGCACTTAAATTGTTTTATTCCTTAAATAGCACTTAATAATGTCCATAATGTCCAGTAATGACGAATATTTGCTTGAATAATGGCTAATGCATAATGACTAAAAGTGCTACATTAGGAAGAAAAACACATGTGGTGCTATTTAGTGAAAGTCATGATGCTTTAGTGCTACTCCTTATTTAAGTAAATTTCTCTAAATTCTATTCAATTTAATTTTTCTAAGATAAAGTTAATGACATCTAAAAAGTACTCTCTCCGTCCCAAATTATTTGCAACGTTTGCTTTTTTAGCAGTCGCGAAAACGGAGGGAGTATTTTCTTTTAATTTTACTCCCTCCGTCCCATGAAACATTTCCCCTTTCTTTTTTTATCCGTCCTACAAAACACTTCTCATTTCTATTAAAAAGTCACTTTTACCCTTATTTTTTCATACCCTACCTATCAAATCATACCTTTTTACTAATAATCTATCCATCAAATCATACTTTTTTACCCATCACATCAAAGGACAGTTTTGGAAATTCAATACCAAAATACACTCCCTTTAAATCCCTCCTAAAAAGCAAAAGTCCCATGTTTCATGGGACGAAGGGAGTATTATTTATAAATAGTGTTTTGTAAGTTGATCTGATAAAACTACAAAGACAAATTTCTCGAGAAAAAGAAAGATTGCATTTGTATTTTTCATCATTATAGGCTATTACGATGGAGATTTAGAAATTATTTGTCACATCGTCGTAAAAAACAGGTATAATATCATAAAATATGTAATTATTTCTTCATTTATGAAATTTGTTGTACTGACATAAAATAAAGTATTTATTAAAATAATGACATAAGTTATTTCTTCATTTTCTAACATCAAAAAGAGAAAGTGTAAATGTAATTTTTAGAGGGAGAAAATATAAACGTGCTTCTCCATTCATTGACTATTTCACTAAATTACTTAATTACTCCGCAGTCTGCACGCGGTTCTTGCTTTAGGAAAGAAACGACTGGCATGTTTTCGCAATGAGTGCATTTTGGTCTACCTTAGGATGTAACATGGATGGCTCGGAGGGTGTACAAAATAGCCAACCGCACATGGTCCCTCAAAATTTAGGGTATCATATTTTTAAATTTGTCAATAATTTTAAAGTAAAAGTATTCTAAAAATATAAAATATGACACAAAATATAAATTTTGGACCGGACCAATTTTATTTTTTCAATTTTCGGGGCCGGCCCTTGGTGTAACTTGGGTGTATATCAATTATGCTCAAAATAAGTATACTCATACTTGCAGGTTTGTTTATTTTGTGACTAAATTTTTAAATTGTGGGAGCAATCTACGCAATCCGTTCTCATTCTAAAATCCAAATAGAGCAGGAAATCCGGGACATGTCTTACGGTAGAAGGCCGGAGTTTCTACGCACTCCCCTTGCTTTTGCTAGTTGACTCCGCCTCGAATTTTTTACTCCCTTCCTCTTAAGCTATGTCTTATGGGGCGTGAGGAGGTGCTTCAACACCATCCGTCACGCCCCTCTTCCATAACACCAATAATTCTGTGACTAGGCGTTGCCTCTCTTCTGGGCGTTGAATATTTCAATCAATTAACATTTATTAACACATATTCAACTTTCATCACATTCATTCACACTCATCATAACAAATATTTTTTATTACTCCACATCATACATCTTTACAATTTACACTCTGTCAAGTCCGTCATAACATATGACCTTAAAGATGCGTACGTGTCGGAACAATAAGAAAGTTTTTAATTGTCTCCGTTCTAGTCCTGTTTTTCTATAGAAAAATTGTCCATAAAAATCCTAACTTTATCCAATTTTCCAAAAATAATCTAATCTTTCACTGTGATGCATAATAATCTAAACTCTATGGAAATTTGTGAGTTTTGGATCACTGTTAACTTCCTAACGGCAAGTTAACAAAACAACCTGTTTTGTGCCACAAAATGAAAATTGGAACTATTTGTTATAAATTTTTGTCTTTTAATTTTTTTGAAATCTTAATTTAGAGTTTTAAAATGATTTTCTACCTCCATTTCTTTTTGTTTTTTTAAAAAATGTTTATTCTTACCTTAGAAAAATAAAAAAACATAGTATAAAAATAACTTAATTGAGAAAATTAACTAGTCATACAAAAATGATGTAATAAATGAGGTCAATAGAAATTGAACTGAAATTGGTAAGAAATAAAATAAAAGATTGCTTCTTTGGTGCACCTTGGGTGCATACCATTTTTGTAGACCTTATCACATAAAAAATATTTTTTTTAATTTTTTTATTAAAAAATATATGCTTATTTAAGTAGTAAAAAATGCTAATATTGCTCATATGTAGGTCCATGGTGGACCTTAGGTTCACTATAGAATTTTCCAAAATAAAAATGTAAGGAGTGGAGGGTTCTAACATTTTGCGCATTATACAGAGCATCAGTGTATCACTTATTTTATGAAACAAGGGTAAATTTTAGATTATTCTAGATATTTTTTTCCAAAAATAAGAAGAAGTGGTACATTAATACTCTGTATAGTGCGTAAAATATTAAAATCCATCAGTCCATATATTTTTATTTTATTTCTTACTAGTTTCATGTTAACTTCTATTGATTACCTTATTTATTTTATTAATTTTCTATGGTTTCAATTATTTTTCTCATTTTTGTTATTTTTTATGTCTATTTTTTATTTTTATCCAAAGTTAGACTAATCTTTAAAAAAGGAAAATAATTGATGGAGGTACAAAGTTATTTAAGAAATTTAAATGAAAATTTCAAAAAAAAATATAAATTTAAACATGAAAATTCATAAATAAAAAATCTCAAATTTCATTTTGTTGCTCAAAACAGACCGTTTCCGTTAATCCGTCGTTACTAACTTAACGGTGACCTATAACTCGCAAGTTTCAGTAAAGTAGGGATTATTATGCATCAAAGTGAAAAGTAGAATTGTTTTTGAAAAACCAGGTAAAGTAGAGATTATTCTTGAAGATTTTACCTTTTCTAAAATGACTTGGAAGGATTTAGGATGGTATTGTCTTATTTTGTTGGAGTTTCTCTGTACTTATAAGTTAATCAGAAATGCTTATAAGTAATAGAAATTACCTTAAATAAGACTAAAACATAAATAAAGTACCAAAATAGGACTCCATATTTTTATTCTCAAAATTGCAGCTCGCACCGTGGTAATGTGGAGGTAATGTGACATTGTACAGATGCACATTACTATATTTTGCAGCTCGCACTTGTTCTTTTGAAGCTTTACAAGATTCACATTCACTAGAGGAAATTTCAGGTTTGTCAGCGCTTCTTTTTCCAAAAAATTTGTTTTCTTGTTTTAATTTTTCATTTTCTTTTTCCAATTTTTCAAAATCGTTTTCAAGTTTGGAAAGACATTTCTTTAAGGATTTGTTAGTTTTGGAAGCGCTAACAAATTCTTCATAAAGTTCATGAAGTGCTTCTTGCATTTTTTCAAAAGTATAAGAGTCGGAACAAGTGGTATATACCTCTTAGACGTCGTGACTTTGATCTTCGTGTGCCATGAGGCAAAGGTTTGCAGCTTCGTCCTCCACTTGGTCGGTTGATTCGTCGCCGGAATCGCCACCCCAAGAGATGTAAGCTCTTTGCTTCTTGAAGCCGGGCTTGTCCTTGTCGTGCTTGGCTTTTGGACACCTCGGCTTGATTCGTAAGTTTTGAGATTACCTCTTAACCCATCAATTGTGACGTTGGAGACGCCAATTGACTCGTAAATGGAATTGGCCTTGAAGCGCCATTCGAGAGTCAAGCTGCGAAGGATCTTCCTCACTAGATCTTTGTTGGAGTAGCTTTTCTTCAAGGCGTGAAGATCGTTGATGATTTTTGAAAAACGGTCAAACATGTCATCGATTTTCTCACCTTCCTTCATTCGGAACATTTCGCACTCTTGGGTGAGAAAATCGATCGTGGCTTCACGAACTTGATCGGTACTTTCGTACATCACTTCAATAGGATATCGATCTTGTGCAACAGGAGATCTTTTGGTAGTCGTCGGGGTTAACCGCACAATATAGCATATTGATGGCCTTTGCATAGTTTTCCACCTTCTTGATGTCTTCGGCATCAAACTCGTCCTCGGTCTTTGGGACCGTGGTTTCTCCCACTTTCTTCATTGGGATTTCTTCGCCATTTTTGATGACCAACCACAATTGGAAGTTGGTGGAAATGATATAGATTCTCATCTGTTCCTTCCAATACGAGTAGTAGGTGCCATCAAAGAGCGGTGGCCTAGAGGTAGATTGCCCTTCGCCAATACCTGCGTACAAATTTCTAGAAGAAGAGCCCATGATCTTATTCCTCTCAAACGGTGAAGTCTGGAAGAGAGTTAGACTTTGATACCAATTGTTATAAAAACGTCCCAACGCTAGAGGGGGGTGAATAGCGTTTGAAATGAAAATGACGCAGGAATAAAAAATTAGAAGCGTAAAGTAAAGAGCAAGGAAGAGGCACACCGTTTTTACCCTGGTTCACCACAAACGTGTGGCTAGTCCAGCTTCCCGAGAGACTCTCTCGAGCTACACTATCAACATTAAGCTTAACAGTGCTTAACAAACTCGTACAACTTGAGAGTTAGAGTCACACGAACCTCAACAACCTTCGAAGGAAACAACCCATCCTTCGAACTACGCAAGAGAAAAACTTTCTCTTATCAAGTGTCTAGGAACACTAAATCACTCAAGAACAATACTCTTTTTTAGAGTAGATAATGAGTAACTAAAAACGCTCAAGAACACAACACGAACTTCACAAAAATGGCTCTCGAAAAGCTATGAATAATGTATGAATGTAATGCAATGAGAAATAAGAGTTGTGAAGTAATGCGATGTGTAAAGCAGACCCAAACATCCCATTTTATAGTAGAAAAATAGGCTCCAACGGGTAGGAGTTGAATGTGGGTGATTGGCACAATTTGTGGGATTTGATTAAAATTGGATCTGCTGAAAATCAGCCAAACAGCAATGTCCATGGCTTGGACATCACTATTCTAGGCTTAGATTTTGAAAAACAGGAAGCAACGGTCAAGCCAACAGCGATGTCCAAAAGGCCTACATCGCTGTTTTGGCAGTTGACTTCCAAACATGGAAAGTTTTAGCCATAAATTCCTTCCAACAGTCAAGTGCCTACATCGATGTTCAATACTTGAACATCGCTGTTGCTGGGTCAACAGCGCTGTCCAGAAACTTTCTGCCAAAGGGATTTCTTTTTGGCTTAGGTTGGACATCGATGTAGAGGGGTCTACATCGCTGTTCCAGATGTTTCTAGAAACCCAACCTTGGCTCAACAGCGATGTCCATACACCAACATCACTGTTGGAAGACTTAATGCCAAACCATGGTTTTCATCTGCCCATGCCAGACAGCACTGTTGGTCACCCCAACATCGCTGTTGGGCTGGTTTAGCCAGACCCATGGTTGGTTTAGTCATGCTGTTAGCCGATGTCAAAAATCTAAGTTCTCCAAAATAAAAACCAAGTATTGAAAACATTTGTTTAAATCGTTTTGCTAAGAAATCAAGTGAAACATCTTGAAAACCAAGTCATTTAGATAAAAACCACGGCTAGCCAAGTTTACGCCGTTTCACATGGTTTTTACTAAACGACAAAAAACGAGGGGTGGTTTTTGAAGCGTTTTTGTTGGAGAATTATTTAAATATGCCCATAAGTAAAAGCCAATCATAAAATTTTGAAAACCACTTGGTTGGCTCGGACGCCAAAAACCAATGCTATTAACCGAATGTCGAACGCCGGTTTCTGAAAGCCGAACGCCGGATGGCTTGGTTTTTGGTTTGGGCGAACACCAAGTGTTTTAGGCTTGTTTAAAACTTATGAAAAAAAGTTTTGAATATGCAAAAGAATATTTTAATGAGATGAGCCTAGCGAGCCAAGTTTAGAAGTTTGTGTCAGTCTTGATCACATTAAGACCGGCTCGGTTTATTTCTAAGTCTTCGTTCTTGGTTCTTGGCTCTTGGTTTTCAATTCGTCATGCCATGTTCCTTCGCCTTTGATTTGCTCAATTTAATCTTGTTATCACGGCAGTTTGGCATTATCAAAACCTGTCATAAAACGAACATGGTTTAGTACGACATAGGCGTAAACCCGTGTTCCAACAAGACGATCTTGACTGGATGGTTCGTTCAACTTGGAAACTCGCCCGTCACTTGGAAAACGAAGAATCAAACGATAGTTGCTCGGTCGTCTGTTGAAGCTGGATATCGGGCCCTTGTTGTTGTTACTTGTGAGTTGAAGTGGTTGAAGAATCTTTTGCAAAGTCTCGAATTCTTTCATGATTGTGACAGCACATCGACCATTCATATTGCTACCAATCTAGTTTTTCACGAGCGTACAAAGCACATTGAGAACGATTATCATTTTGTTCGGGATGAGCTTCATCGTGGAGTGATTCGTACACATCATGTGCCTACTGCGCATCAGCTTGCAGACATTCACACTAAGGCATTGGGAAAAGCTCATCTGGAGTTTCTTATTCCTAAGTTAGGCATTTCACTTTTGCATGCTCCAACATGAGGGGGGGTATTAAAGAAGAAAGGAATATATTCCCATATATTCTCGTATATATTATTTTGGTAGTTTCTCGTATATATTGATTATTTTCCTTTTTTATCTAGTTTCCATATAGAGTTTCTATTATATGGGATCCTATATATATACGACCTTTAATTTGTTCATACTGTAATCATCAAGAAATACAAGAGAATTTCTCCCAATTACAATTCTTTCAGATTTGATGGGAAACTAGGTGGTCAGTGATGCCTGCGAAGTGGATGACCCAAAGTTGTTTAGTTTAAATTAGTTATTTTGTTGAATTTATTGAATTTATTTATTTAATTACAAGAATGCTTGGTGATGTTGTTCTTAAAGGTTTTAGCAATGTTGATTTGTTACTTCGACTAACTTATATTTATTTTAAAAGATTATGAATGGATGTTTTATTTTAAATGTTTTAAAATATTGTGCATGTAAATACCAAATTAGTGACAACCCGATTCGCTAACTTGTTGATATGAGTTGCGCGGGTTGGGGTGCATGTTACACCATTCTTTTATTTTTTTTTACAACAATAGCACCGTCAACATATCAAAATCATGTGTTGAAGTCAGTGTACTAAACATATTGATATTAAGCATCACTTTATCGTGAGTTACTTGAAGAAAAAATTGCCAGCTTGGAGCGCACGCTGCAAGAGATCGAGAAACAATTAGTTGATATTTTAACAAAAGCATTGGATGAAAAATACCGCTTCCAAACTCTCGTATTCAACTTTGGTCGGTGTGCATCGTTCTAAATTAAAACATTCATTGCATGCATGAAGTGAACACTGAATTGTGAGCTTAAAATGTTCATTTCTTTATCTGCTATAGGTTTTTGGAGGCGAAATCATTAAGGTAGACATGTGGAAGTAGTGGAAGCTAGATATAAACCCATGCACTAATTACATGTTGCATATAAAAAGAAGAAGTCCATCACACTTGCCTTTGCTCATGGATAGAAGTCATATAATGTTATGGGTGGTGATAATCATACTCCCACCAAAAGATCGACTAATATTACCCCACATTAATTTTTATTTATTTTTTCTAAATTATTCTTAAGCTCGTGCTTTGCATTGGTTAACATACATTTTAAATTTTTTAGGGTTATGAAAAAATTATACTTGGAATTAAAATATAATTTTAATTTTCTAATAAATACTTTGTATATGGTATGTGTTATATAATTTTTATTAAATATTTAGACATGATATCATTTTTGAAATAAAATTTAAATTTTTAATAATGATGCACATTTAATTATTATCATTTATATAAATCTTTGTTTTTGAAAATTAATAAAAGGAAAAATGTGAGTAGTTTTAGAAATTTATATATAGCTTTGTTTTTTAATTAAAGAATAAAAGTTATATGACCTTATTTTTAATTTAATAACATAAAATGGTGAAATTCATATTGGTATAATACCCTAAAAAATAAAAAGTTATATATAAAATTAATAGTCATTGAGTATAACAATAATGAAAGTTGATTAATTAGAAATTAATATAAAAGATTCCGAAGTTTTAAAATTAGAATTAAAATGTGTGTGTGTGTGTCTGCATATATATATATATATATATATATATATATATATATATATATATATATATGCAGACACACACACACATATATATACACACACACAGATACATACATATATATATATTGAAAATCAATAAAATGAGATAAATGCTGGATGGATTTAAACAATTGTATATAATATTTTATTTAAAATTAATAAGGTTTATTTTAACTTTTTTAATAATAGAGTAACATAACTAAGCATCACGGGATGTATTTAGTTGTGGGGTGTCTTCAGTATTTTGGCGGGTGTGGCTTGTTCGATAGTGCATCTGAGTTTAGGCCTTGTATTACTAAGAAGCATATCTTGCACCAAAGACATATTGATGTGGTTCATTTTGCACTAATTTGCTTGCACTCTTTATAGACAATTGTTGAACTCTGTTACTTTGAGTGGTTCTTTATCAAACATGTTGTCCATGAATTCTATTGCAACTTGAATATGATATGAATATATATTAGTTATATTATTTATTAATTAGTATTCTTTATTATTATATAGTTAATCTTGTTTAGGGTTTAGTACGGGCCCGAGCCCATTAGGTCAACTAACGTAGCTTTACTCTCTCTATATTGTAATCCTTTCCCGTTATTATGAAATGAATACAGAATAATCAAAATCCTAATCTCTTTCTCTCTTCTCTTGAAGCTCGGAAATGCTCGAAGTTTCCATCTTTCTCTCTTCTATTCTTCTGGAGTTTAAAGAACGCTCGAAGTTCTTCCCTATTCGATACGATATTCGTATCAATTGGTGCTTTCATTGAGAGGAACACCAAAAAAAATCCCCCAAAACTCCAAAAAAAAACAAAGAAAAAAATCTAGATCCCAACCACAGAAATCATGAGTCTTCTCATAGTTCCGCCGCTACAATTTTTTTGACACCGACTAACCTCTTAGTGACGCCGTTGCAAATTGTTTTGAAGCCGACCAGCGTCATAGTCGCAGACACCATTGAATTTGTTGGCGGTGGCACCGGAGAACAAATTTCAAATTCATTCAGGCTCCGTTTGGTACATGGAATTGATGGAATTGGAATTGAAAATCCATGGGATTCAATTCCATAGAATTGAATTCATCAATTCCAATTCATTTTTTGCACTACCAATTCCAAATCCACATAATTTTTGTGTTACCAAACACTAGAATTGGAATTGAAGTCCTCAATTCCAATTCCATAATTTGAATTCCTTGTACCAAACGGGCCCTCTAGTTGTTCAATCCCAAGTCTGCTTTGTAGCAATCAACCCATAAAAACCTTTTTTTCCTCTTATCACAACCCACCAGCTGCTGGCCGAAATTATTTGTTATGGGTGATTTCAAAATCCTTGTGGCAGAAACTTTTTGGCAAAGTGAATGTCAGAAATAAATCTTCCAGGAAAAAAAGAAGCTAATTGCCTCCTTCGACTGTTCTTACGGCCAAAAGAAGAGGAATTGAAGGTGTCGCTCCAAACATCCAGATAAATGAACGCCGATTTAGAATCAAATTGAGGACAGGGCCGTCTACTCTAATTGTGTTTTCAATCGCCGTTAGTAGCCAATTTTGTTGGATCGGAGGATGGAAAACAAAAAGAAGCGCAAAATTTACTTCAAATGCAAATTGATATTTCGTCACGGATGGAGGCCGATTTGCACGGTTAGAGGCTTTGATTGTTAGTACCGGTGCATTGAACAAACTAATTCATTTGCTGAAGAATGTTCTATATGGAGAAATTGAGCATGACAAAGGAGTTTGCACACTTTTCGATGACATAAATGAAATTATAAAAAATCTCCGGTCATTTTGCCCTATTGGACGTCAGAAAAATTATGATTCTGACTTACATGCGTTGGACATTGAAATCTCTTGTTAAATCCAAGATTTAGTTCGTGGTCCCCCAATTTTTCCAGGTTTGATTCCTTTGGAGTTACACAATTTCAGAACAAACATGATGGACGCCATTCGGAACCTCATCTGTGCCCCACTTTCTCCATCCAATTTGACTTATATGGCCACTGTGCAAAACATTGAGTCTCATGAAAAGGAAGCAATGGATGACTCAGACATCGAGTCACATGTTGGGGATGACATGGACAATGGGCCTGAACTCATGAATGAAGATGACGAGAGGTCCAACATCGTGGGGAATAATAAAGGTGATATTTCAGAAGATATTGTTAATGCAGACACTTTAGATCTTCCATCACATGAATGTTATGCTCCGATCAATGCCTCATCTTGTGTGGTGATTGCTGAGCTTGCCCTTCTAGAAGGTGTCAACAAGGTGGCAGATATCGATAATAAGCAAGCAGACAACCCCATTTCATTTGACACTATTAAGTTGTTTGACATTGTTGATGTGGTCAAGACAAAGCACCTAGTTTCACCGAAAGAACCTAAATTTAGTATTGGATCTATCTCGCTTGTCCCTCGGTTAGCTCCAAGATCCAAGATGGTTGCATATTCAAAGAGTGGACTACTCCTTTGGTTCAGCATTCTTTCTCCAGTCTTAAAGCACGAGTGGGAGCCACCACCTTGAGGACAAGGTGGTTTTTTAGGGGGTGTGAATGATATGAATATAGATTAGTTATATTATTTATTAATTAGTATTCTTTATTATTATATAGTTAATCTTGTTTAGGGTTTAGTACGGGCCCGAGCCCATTAGGTCAACTAGCGTAGCTTTACTCTCTATATATTGTAATCCTTCCAAGTTATTATGAAATGAATAAAGAATAATCAAAATCCTAATCTCTTTCTCTCTTCTCTTGGAGCTCGGAAACGCTCAAAGTTTCCATCTTTCTCTCTTCTATTCTTCTAGAGCTTAAAGAACGCTTGAAGTTCTTCCCTACCCGATACGATATTCGTATCAGGATACTAGTTTTTTTTAGAAGTGTTTGTAAGAGGAAATGTTTTTGATTTCTCTTCCAAGTTTGTTATTAAGTTTTTGGGTATAGAAGAGATGTGAAAGATATATGTGTCAGTAGTTGTAAGAAATTTTGCTGGCAAACATTTTAATGATATAGTAGTACATGTAGTTCCAAGCAGTAGCAGCAAACCAAAGAAACAATTCTCTGTGATCAAATTTCTTACAGTTTATCCTTTAATCTTCTTAGTATCTGAACCAGTTGGAACATTGGTTTTAATTTGTCAATGGGTTTGTTTTTCCAAATATATAAAAGAAATATTTGCACTAAATAGCACTAAAACTTAAGTCAATTCCCTAAAGCACTTAAACTGTTTCATGAGTGGCTCGAAGAGTGTGCAAAGTGGCCAATCGCACAGGGTCCCTAAAATTTTAGAACCCCATATTTTTAAATTCGACATTATTTTAAACCATAAGTATTCTAAAATAAAATAGGGTCCAAATGATAATTTTGGGTCGGACCAATTTTATTTTTTCATTTTTCAGGGCCGGCCCTAAACGGTTTTATTCCCTAAATAGCACTTGATAATATCCAGAAAGAGAAATAATGTCCCGTGATGGCAAACATTTACTTGAATAATGACTAATGGATAATGACTAAAAGTGCTACAACGGGAAAAAACACGTATAATGCTATTTAGGGAAAATCATTATGTTTTAGTGTTGTTTAAATAAATTACCCTTTCTAATATCATCTCATGTCCGAATTTCACACATCACAAAATCTGAAATTATAAACACTTTTCTCTTAACTTTGTATCTACAAAAGAATAGGAGTAAGTGAACATTTTCATAAACAATACATAAAGCTGATAAAAGTAACTGTGCATGGGCATTGGTAGACTAAATTCATTTGCACAATTAGTCTAAATTTAGTAAAGTGTCTATTCACCACAAAAAAAATGCGGAATTGGCACGGCTTTTGGCACAGACTATAGTTTTAGTTTCCCGTGACTAAGCTATAAGGCACGGATACAAAACGCTGCCAATTTTGAAGCTCCAAACCGTATGGCACGGAAATCCAATCCGTGCCAAAGATAGAGATGGCGTCTTGTAACAAATTTGTTCCAAACTTACGGTTGTAGGAAAAACGTTAAAGATATTAGGCACGGATATGTCCGTGTCAATCGCACGTTGCTAATTATGCACGGCTAAAGAACGACATTTTTTGTTCCGATAACATTTATAAAATATTGCAATAGGCACGGTACGTATCCGTGCCAAAACTACGTTCTTACGAATATAACATAAGTCACGTATATATCCGTGCCTTAACTTTGAAAATTTTCAAAATATTCAAAAAATTTCAAAATATTCAAAGACGCGGGGAGATTAAATTTTGAAATTCAAATATTTTTTCCACTAACATATTCGTGCCATGGATTTCAAAAAGAATAAAAAAATATTCTGTCACGGATTTATCCGTGCCTTAGATTTTGAAAAATTAAAAAAAACAATTTTGAAAATAAAAAATTAATAATACATAACAGGCAATAATTGAAATACGGAATAAATCACTCACGGCATAATAATGTAGATTAATAAAAGTAATATCCATAATGAAAGTCATGTCTAGCGTCCAAACAAAGACCATCACACATAAATGTTAATGAATAATTACAGATTTTCATTGTTTAGAAAAGTGTTAACATCACAATTATTTAAATTGTGTCCTTCCGATTGAGCGTTTCGCGTTTAGGGGAGGACCGCAGGTTGTTCAAAAACAGGCATGGGAGACATTAAGGGCTGCGAGGCACAATAATAAGAAGGGGTGAGCTGTTGATGAAGCAGAGGGCTTGGATTTCAAGGGGGCTGCAATGTCGGACGGAGAACTTGGAAACTCAGGCCCAGGGTCAAATAATTGACCGACTCTTTCAATCCCTGAAATTAACTTAACAAGTCATGGGATTGAGTCTAATATTTCTTCTCTAAATCGGCACTCTTTTCGTGAAATTTCTCTTCAAATTTTTTCTCCAATTTCAGCTCCAATTCGGTCTTCAGCCGTGCAGCATAGTCTACGTGGCTAGTGCCTCCCGAAGAAAATGATCCGGAAGATCCAGCTTCACAGCCCTGCCCGAAGACCCGGTTCTTCTTGTTCCCCACCACTTCAACGTACAACCCAAGGTCATCTTCTAGTTCTTCCTTAGCAACATCATCAAGAGTTATAGAATTGGACCCAGATCCGAATGCGACTTGCTGCTTTAGAAGGAGCTTCTCCTTGTAGTTTTTCTACATAAATCACAATTTAAAGAACTTATTAAAATTTTATTAAATTTTTTGTGTAAACAATATTTACTAATTGCATTTCAAATAAATAATTAACCTTGATTTCAGCAACTTCTTAAGACGGCTGGGAACCCTTCTTCTGTTCTTCACAAACAAACGGTTAATGACCTTGACTCCTTGAGTTGATTTGGAATAACTTTGTCCTCCTCCTCCTACTCACAATTAAATTGAAATAAAAAACCGGCACAAGTATGGTAAAGACTACAGAAAACTTACCATCTTCTTGATGTTCTCGCTCACGGAACGACGCCCCCCATAATATTGCCTTTGCTTTGCCTTCTCCGTATTTCGGTTTTTGCTCGACTTCTCACACTTTGCTCGAAAATCTGGACTTGCCCAATACTTAACCATTGTTTCCCAGTGATCTTCTCCCACAAAACTCGGCTTCTTATTTTTGTTTCGTGCATTCATGAACCACTTCGTCAATCATACGGACCCGCGGGAATTAAAGGTGCTCCTCATGACTTTGTTCGTGTCTGTCAGCACAACCCCGGGCAACCATGTGTAACGAAGATATAAATGTCATAAAAAATAAATTAGTATTGGAATAAATCATGTAAGTGTAATTCTAATAAAAATGAAATACTTACCCGAAACAGGTTCCACCATCGCTGACGAACTTCCTTGGGGGCGGTTGTGTAGGTATGCCACGACCCATGAAAACTTCCTTAGATGGCGATTCTAGTGGTGCTTGAGAGTGAGAACGCTGAAAGGTTCCCCTACCGCGAATGCTACCGCGGAAGGAAGTGCTCCTTGCTGAAGACATTGAAAGGAGAAGGGCTTATGAGGGAGGAGGGTGGAGGAGGGATGACGACGAAGAAAGAGATAGGAGGAGGATGCGCGCGCACACAGATATATATATATATATATATATATATATATATATATATATATATATATATATATATATATATATATATATATATATATATATATATATATATATATATATATATTTGTATGAGATCCATGCTAGGCACTGCTATTTCCGGGCCTAATAGAGGGCATTAAACACGAAAGTTTTTGGTAATTGCTTAGGCATGGCCCTGTTCGTGCCAAATAAAATGACCTCTTCGTTTGTAGGGGTGCATTAATAGCGTGTCATAATGACAAATTTATTGGGTTGTTTGTAGGCATGGTAATTGCCTCTACAAGTGTGTCAGGCTTTTGTCTAGGATCGAGTCTAGGCACGGTGAAAACTGTGCCTAAACGTGTGCATTAATTACTAAATTTTTGGATTAGTGCGTAGGCATGCCCTCATCCGTGCCAAAATAATATCTCTGCGACTGTGCCAGGATTTTGTGTAGTAACGCATGTAGGCACGGCTATAGTCGTGCCTAATGTCAAGCAATAATTGCTACATGTTGGGTAAAGGTATAGGCTCGGCTATTTCCGTGCCTACACCGTTTTCGAGAACCAGACAGTCTGGCTTATTGTGCCTGCATGGGTTTCGTCAACTCTCAGTAAATTCCAACGATAAAAGGAAAATATTTAATTGTACTCTTCGGTCCTTAAAAGATTGTCACAGTTTGATTTTTTTTATAACTATGACATTTTTTATCACGAATTTAATATTTTTAAAAGTTTTTAAATATTATAAAAATTTAATATTTCAAAACTTTATGTTAATGTAAAGCCAATTTTATTAAATTTATATTATAAGTAAATATACTATTTCCATAATTTATGGTGAAAAAAGGGTCTTTAAAGAACGAAGAAAATACTAAAATACAGACAATAGCATATAAAAATAAGGAAACTTGCAATTTGAAATATTAGTCAGACAATATCATATAAAAATCCAATGAAAATACATAAGTATGCAACGAAGTATGGAAATTACATCATTCACCCTCATAATCACCATCAATATAAACTTCGTCTTCTTCAGTATCTTCACCAGAAATCCATTCCTCTTCTTTGAAATCGTTAAGTAATTCTTCCACCTGAATTTCACCTCCATTAGTATCTTGCAAAAAAGACACCAACTTGAGTTGTTTCACAATTGTTGGCGGCTGAAAAAATTCTTGTTGAAATGCTTCAAAATCTACGTCTCTCGCGGTTGCATGAGTAATGATTTTCCATGGTCGAATGGAACACGCACAAAGCCAGAGAGATGCGCATTGACGAGTTGATGGATACTTGGCATAGTAAACTTGTGCATCTTGTTGCGCCAGAATAAATGGTTCATTTTTCCGATATATCTTTGATTCATTAACATCAACAATATTAAACTTAGGATGTTTTCTCACATCATGTGTTGGGTCAATCTAAGTACATTGGAAAAGAACAATTTTAAATTCCTTTGAGCCTGCAAACGTGAACCCAAGTATATCATCAAGAGTGTCATATAAATTTGTTTCACTATTGTCGAAACTACATG